TCAGTGCTATAAGGTCGTTTTGGCAGTAACGACCTTAAAGCACTGATGATTTTGAAAATAATTTTCGGGCCCTATTCTAAGCATGAAAGAACTTCATAAAGAAATAGATAATGTTGCACAATATTTCATTGATAAAAATCATTTTAGGGGACTGTTTCTCAAATTTACAGCAGGACTTTGCTTGAATTTCAAGTTTAAAAAAATTTAAAAACCTTTTAGTGCGAAAATTTTGTTAATGACCTTATAGTACTAATACGACGATTTCTTGTTCAAACAAATAATCAAACTAAAGCACAGCTTTTATTTCCAGGCTTGTATTAAATATATAGCACGCTTGGCTCTGAAATTTCTTTCACGCACATTCCTTAGTCCAGTACTTTACAACATTGGCTTTTTGAAGCAATTTTACAAAATTCCTAACGTAGGGATTTACAATTTACTGCATCTATCATTCCGTCGTCTTGTTTGGGGTAATTATCGTATATATGCGTGGTTAACTGCAAACTGCATCAATTTAATGGATATTTAAAACTTAAAGGGTAAAAGAAATAGAATACAGTTAGTTCACGTGAAGTATTTTAAAATACAGTAAATACGTAACTATGAAATGAATCGTAAGTTTAATGTTTACCCCAATAATTATGACCCCAAAATGTATAAAAAGACCCTGCGTTTCCTCGCCCACCAAAAAATCCCCTTTGTGCCGTTCGTGCTCCCCTGCCGATTGGATGACGTCATCGCCAGAACGCTGACATGTACAGTGTACATGTACATTGCGCATAATACGCTTCAATAGACCACGTTGTGTTTGATGTAGCTTGGCCCACAGGCAAACACCGTCTCAGTTCGAGGTACAAATTTAAAAACCTTCCGTGTATTTCTTGCACCGACGTTCCTGGACAAATAACGCATGCGCAACGGTTAAGATACTCCCATTTTATTATAATTACCCCTAAACTTCCTAGGAAAATAATAATAATAATAGTAGCCGAGTTGGTGCCCGTGTGTGCGGCGGTTGGTGCCACGTACACAAACCAGTGTGCAGGCGTGGCATACACAGTGTGGACCTCTGCACAAAAGAAGTCCACATAATGTAGGGTGCGGTGGCGTTATGTGGACTCGCATACGTCCACACAATGTTTTCCCCTCTCTGCAAAACTGTTTCAGAGGCATTTTGGGGTCACCGTTATCCGTGGCAAAATGAAGAGGAACAGTCCAAGAAATCATCATCAAAAATGCAGCTCAAAAGGAGTTATCCTATTTGTAGAAAAAGGAACGTTTTCGTCAGTTTCCTTAACCACAGGAGAACAAAGGAATGTCCACCCTTTGTACGTAAAACAGGTATGGTGACGTGTCTGTGAATTGGTCAGTCACACGGTCGCACTTAACACACTCGGCCTTTTAACTTAATTTACGACACTAAAAGCAAAACCCGATCTGCTAGGAATGGTCTGCTGATCGAACAAACCCTAATTCACGTGACCTATGGTGGGCATTTAATCCATGCATCAACAAACACGGCGTCCACCAAAAGAAAAGGTTTCCTATTAAGTATCATTTACCAAAGTAAAGCCGATGGTAGGTACCTTACTCAGACTACTGATGTGATAGGTACCATACCGTAATTAGGCTATATTGTAAAACAACACTCACAACACACGTTGCTATGAGATTGATGCTACTATTGGTCATGTGATATATCGGGCGCAATCAGTCTATTGGATTGGCAAAATTTAATCAAGAACACCAAGAATTTTCTGCAAAACGTTTCAAATTATCTTTCAATAAGTATAATTGCACCGTACGTCTGGAAAACAATGAGTGTGCGCTCATAGCTCCGATTTTTTGAAAGCACTAGCCATTTTTTTTTTAGATTTTAAACAAAACACAACTGTGCAGCATGTAGTTAAACTCTTCAATGATTTTTAGTTCCCACTCGTCCGAAATTTCTCATTTGTGTCCCTCATCTAACTTTGCTTCAAAGACTTTTTACTTGGACGCCAGTTCAATGAATCGTCAAGCACAGCCAAACTACGTACCCGGGCATTGATTCCATTAGACTATGGATTTCAAGTCCGTGGACTTCTTTTAAAGCTTGTGAATCTAGGCTGTGATAGTGCCAACCGTTCAAAGCGTCGTCAAGCCTGTATGTACACGTTCCGTGAAAGTGGTGAATACAGATAATGGCATCTTATTTAGAGGTCCGTATAATTCCCGCTTATATAATAATGGACTTTGACACATACCCATTTCACCACGGGAGGATTAACCGACCACGGCAGGTTAAAAAAAAAGTCCAAAGGGGAGGTCTTCTTGCGGGTAGATGACCCCCAGACTCAAATTCGAAAAGCTGCTGTGAAACCTCCCACAAAATCTAGCGCTGTTCATTAAGGCCTGTATTTGACGCTTGCCAATACGACGCTTTTAGCGTCGATCTGCGCATTTCCGCGTTTGGAAACGAGGCTGTATGTGTCAGAAGATGGAAAGTAAGGAGTCAAGACACAAAATACATAAAGGAATGTTAAATTAAGACTTTTCCAGGCTTCAACTTTTTGTGGAAGATTCTTTCGGGATGACTCAACACGTAAAATCAAAAGAAAAAATAACGGCAATTTACCGCGAACTAACGTACCTGCGATGGTCGTGTATCTTGTGCAGTGGGCGTGGTTTAACTGAAGTGGCGTCACACTTACGAACCGGATACTGCATGTACTGTGTCGACTCCTCGGGCGTGCGCGACAAAGCTCAACTCAGAGAGCCTCGGTTTCGATGCGGATGGAGCGCAGATGGAGCTGATGTAGAATCCCTCTCTAGTATACAGTTTTGCGAGTCAGAATGTCTGTTTTGCCATAAGCATTAGAGGTTGTCGCATACACGCCTCAACCGTCGTTCCTGTCCAACTCACGCTTGACTACGTCCTGTTTCTTTTTCTCCTGTTATGTTGTGTCTTTTGTACAAGTAGCAGAACTGTTGAAAGTTGCAGTACATGTATATTGACTTTCACGCAAATACTTTTTAAGCTTTAACGTAGGCGCAGAGACGCAAAACAGTTTTCTTTTCTTGCAACCTTTTACTATTTTTTAAAGAGTGGGCCTGTTTGTTTCATACAGATCCTAAATCAGTAGTCCCATTGATGGTTCGTACCATCCTTTTGGAGGGTTCTGGTGTCAGTGAACGAATGATGGTTTTCTGATCAAAATTCGGATCCGCGTATTACAAAAAAACAAAAAACCTAGGCCCTATGTACAGTAATAGACGCTTGCTTACACACAGAGCATGATAATAAATGGTGCCCGCCGGAAAATCATGATAACAACAACGAAAACAACAAAAGCAACAAAACAAAAAAAAGACAAAAACGTCTTCGCCTTTTTGACTTAACTTGCCACCTTCACCATGAAAAGCTCGAAAACGACATCGACAAAACTGTGCTCTGTTTAAACAAAACAAAAACTTCCATCCTAAGCATGACACCGTCTGGCTTCTGCATCAGCTTACCAGCAATATATGGTTCAAGTTCGACCAACAACAAGAGACAAGATTGTCTCTGGGCCCGTTTGTTTCACTCTTATCTGGCTCACTATCCGTTGAGTGGTTAAATAGCTCCATGGTTGTCCCAACGCTGATTCGCCCCATCCATTCTATCACCGAGCTTGCTGGCTGGCTGGCCAGCCCAGGTCAGATGTAGCAGCGAGTTCCTCAAACATATTTCCAGGGATGTACTTTCGTCGGGGAGACGTTCCTTTTTGGACTTTAATTAATAATCACATATATTCCCGAGGCAAGTAAATCTTTGAAAGTGTACCGTACCAAATTATCAACGAAAGTATTGTTACGAAACCTCAACTCGCGGTATCTATGGATCTGATAAGTTACACGCAATCTGGAGATTTTCCGTCAACTGCAACGGCACGCACTAAACGTTCGTTAAAAGTATCATTGGAAGCTCCCACCCCAAGGAATTTGTATAAAATCCCAACCGTTAGACTAAGGAGCTAGTAATCGTCTTCTGGAACTCAACTATACCAAAGAGAAAGGTAACTTTTTTCGGCTATCACGAATGTCTGTTAATGCATTGATTTTCCGCAGGACGTCAGTTTTGCTGTCTTGGTCTCTCCTGATCCTCTCTGCTTGGTTACTTCCGTGCTAGCCAAGTGTCTATGTGTCTCTATGAGCCGTCCGAACGGTTTTTTGCCTGCATGTAATGGTATTCTGCCCGTCTGCCCATCTGCTCGCCCGGCCCACTTGCCGATAACCTGGGGGTAGCTTTGGCACCCAGGATACTTTGGCAAAATACCTTAAGGCCGGTTCATATTTTACGCGAATGCGACAGCGAAGCAAACATGACGTCACGCAACGATCGCAGCGAATTGTCTTGAGTTGAAGTGTGTTCAACTTTTGCGGATTCACAAAATTTACGTTTGTGTTTGCTTCTGTGCGGGGCATGAACCAGCCTTTACTCTGCTCTGCATCATCACTTTGTGATAAAACTTACTCTTTTCTATTTTTCTCATTTTCTATGAAACGAATATTCTCACGTGCATTGCTTGAATTGTTTAAATTAGTGCAATAATCTGAAAAAGGCGAAAGACAGAATCATATTTTGGAGTAGGGGAGGATATTAAAACTAAAAATTTGTACAAAAACTCTTCGTGTTTTTGGTTTTTGCAATTACATTTTTGTTTTTAACTTAGTATGACCACGGATCTAATCCTCTTATGTTTTCTCGAATCTAGATGCCTATTATTTTGGTCCTTTGCCTTTTTCTGGGCGTGGCCGTAGCCCAGTGGGATGCCAACACTTTGGACAACAGGCAGGTTATGGTACACCTGTTTGAATGGAAATGGAAGGACATCGCAAAAGAGTGTGAAAAGTAAATATTCATGTTTTTGTTTTGTTTTTTGGTTTTTTTTCAGAATCAGCCACCCAAATTTAAAAGGGCCTTTTGATGGGATTGTTCGCACATGCGTTCACCAAGAATGCACACTTTGTATTTTACGCAGAAGCCTGATATGGACAGAGTAGGCCTACATGTTTTCAAATATTTCTAAGAAAGTCAGATATAATCGAACAGGCATGGCATTTAGGCACCTGTGGCAAAGATTCATAACCAACCATCTAGTTAATAGAAAAGCGTTGCAAAAAATAATTAGAAAAACTATGAGGCAAGATTTTGTTATGTTAGCCGTATGCACCTGATGGGACTGTATCAACTAGTATGCTCCTAAGGGAGCTGAGATGGTTTCAGGAATGTTCAGTTGTTGTGACCCCAATGTGCAGGGATAATGATAATGCAGCGCCTTGAGCATCAGTTGTGATGGATATGTACGCTAAACAAATATCCACTATAATAATTAAGTGCTGCCTTCAAATACGTAAGCGAGTTTTCCAAGATGTCGCAGTCTCGTTATACATGACGTCACAGAATGACTGGCACAGTTGAACGCTTCCTGGGGCCTGTTTTGGCTACCCGAACCATGAACATGTTTCAGTTTTGGTCATTGGTGAAGCATTTTCGCGTCTTGGTTATGCCTCTGGGTCGTCAGTGTTCTAACCGAACGAGAACCGAAGTATGGGCTTCTTCCTGGGGGCGCTGTTGAGTCCAAACGGTTTTCCACCTTGTATGTAAAATATCGAGGCACATCGCCGTATGTGAACGCTTTTTATTAACGCCAGTATGCGTAAATGGGTCAATGAGTGCTATCATGTTGATAATTTGCCATTTCCACCAAACGCAGTGCTATAGTTGGTGTATAACCAACGCAGTCCTTTCACAATAGTGCGGCTCCAAAAGTTCATAACACACGGGCCGATCATAATGCGCAAAATCTATCGATCCAGCCAGGGCGCAGTTGGAGAGGGTCGACAGATTTCGCGCATTATGAGTGGCCAACGCGTTGCAAACTCTTTGAGGCGCACTATTGTGAATCGCCCGTACTCCTCTTACATTGCAATAATTCACACGTGCTTCCCTGTGTGTAGCTGGTTGGGCCCCAATGGTTTCGCCGGTGTCCAGGTTTCTCCGCCCAGCGAAAACATCAGGATTAACGGTCGCCCGTGGTACGAGCGCTACCAGCCCATCGGATACGGCCTGAACACTCGGAGCGGCAACGAAGCTGAGTTTAAGGACATGGTGAATCGGTGCTACAAGGCTGGCGTTCGGATCTATGTGGATGCCGTCATAAACCACATGGCGGCCAGCAATCCCGATGGTAACGGAGGTGGGTTATAGCAAACACTCACACGAATTAATGTATTCGATTTTGTTGGATTGAGCTAAAGTTTAGAGTTTCCAAGGACATTGCTGACAGGATGAAGTCTTTGGGTAGAGACATTGACAAACTGTGATGTGTTGCGATAAGAAGACGCATGTAAAGATATGATTATGTCCATATTTTGTCATATGAAACGAGCAAAAAAATCAAAATCTGCTATTTCACTGAATCATTAATAATTAAATGAATAGGAGAGACAACAGGCTTTCATGGCAGCCTCTCCTGGTTTATTTTTAGTAATTAAAATATCAACTAAAAACAGAGATCCTGCAGGGCTCTAACAATCAATTTTGTTTATAGAAGGCGGTCCTAACTTTCGACTGCCATAGTTTTGGGGAAAGTCAGAAATTTTGGAGATTTAAAAAAACGGCTAATTTCCTAAAATTGCACTTTTTGAATATGGGAAATATTAGGCTATGTTAATTGGCATAATTCCCTCTCTTTTTTTGTCGACTCCTATGGAGTTACGCTGAGTGATAACACCAAGCTGCGTAAATCATAACAGAACGTAAAGATTGGACTCCTTGGAAAGTTGATGAGATGATACTGAATCATTTGGTCTTACAGTTGCGTATCTTCTCCACAATACGGTCTCACTGATTCGAAAAACCTGAAATGAGAGATTTCGTCACTAAAACGAAGGGGAAAAATCAGAAGTTTCGAAACATACTATCCACTTAAGACGGATGACAGTGGTCTGTGTCTCTCTTTCAACCTATACAGCTTATGACTTTTGGAGGGTGCCCTACTCGAGCTCGGATTTCAATGGCCCACAAAACAAATGCCCAACACCCAGTGGTATAGACTACAGCAACAAATACTCCATCCGTAACTGTGACCTGGTAGGACTCAAGGACCTGGACCAGGGGAGGAATTGGGTCCGAGACAAGATCGCCGAGTTCCTGAACAATTTGATCGACATGGGTGTGGCCGGCTTCCGGATAGATGCTGCCAAGCACATGTGGCCGGGCGACCTCAAGGCAATCTACGGCAGGCTGAAGAACCTGAACACAAAATTCGGCTTCCCGAGCAATGCCCGTCCCTTCTTCTTCCAAGAGGTGATCGACCAGGGTGGGGAGCCCGTCACCGCCGACGAGTACCTGAACACGGGCAGGGTGACGGAGTTTAAATACGGTCTGGAGCTTGCGAGGGGCTTCCACAGACAGAATCTGCTCAAGTGGTTCAAGAACTTTGGTGAAGCCTGGGGCTTTGTTCCTGATTACAACTCCTTAGTGTTTATCGACAACCATGACAACCAGAGAGGTCACGGTGGTGCAGGCAGTATAATCACCCACCAGTCCCCGAGGCTGTACAAGATGGCCAACGCCTTTATGCTTGCATACCCCTATGGATTCACTCGAGTGATGAGCAGCTTCTCGTTTAGTGACCCAAATAGTAGCCCTCCTCAGGACTCGAGCGGTAACATCATTTCTCCCATCTTTTACTCGGACAATACTTGTGGCAACGGCTGGGTGTGCGAGCATCGCTGGAGACAGATCAAGAACATGGTCGATTTCCGCCGGGTGACGGTGGGTCAGTCCTTGAAAAACTGGTGGGACAACGGCTCCTATCAAATCGCGTTCGGCCGTGGTAACAAGGGCTTCATCGCCATCAACAACGAAGACTTCCAACTGAGCCAGACACTGCAAACGGGCTTGCCTTCTGGCACCTATTGCAACATCATCCTGGGAGACTTCAAGAATGGCAAATGCACTGGGCCGACGGTCTATGTTAACGGCAGTGGATACGCCAAGTTTAACATCGCCGGCTCAGGCAACGACGACCCCGTTGTTGCGATCCACGTCAATGCCAAGCAGTAAATGCGTGCATTATAACGTCATATATGACATAGTTGCAAATGCCAAGATTCGCTAATACTATACCGTATCGAAGAAACACAAAAAAAGGAACATTCATTCGCTGACTAATTTAACGATTCTGTAGTAAAACAAGACTGAAAGGCTTAAATGTGATGTCAGATGTGCAGTTGGGGTGTCACTCCCCCCCTTCCCCCGACAAAAAAGGTTACAAAAATGGGGAAAATATAAGAAATAAGTCAAGTAAATTTAATAACAAGATAGCATTGAAAAGATTCTTCTTATGTGTACACCAATACCATTGTCAAAGATTTATTTTATGTAATGGCCTGACCCCCCCCCCCGAAAAAATTCCTTGATCCGCCCCTGGATGTTAAAGTTGTTAGAAACTCTAATCTGAAATGAAGGCAGCGCTTAGCGTAATTGTTATCCTGCTTTGTGCGGGATCATTCTCCAGACCCCTTAAAACAAAGCGTTTCTTTGACCACACCTGAATGCCAGACCTACCCCAGTCCTTTCTTATGATTTATAAACGAAAATGATCCTTTTAACCCTAATTTGGAATTCCACAAACCCTGTTTTAAATATCATACAAATCATATTAATAAAAGGAAAGATTCCCAAATGATTTTTTTGTGAAGGGTCCACCTTTTGTGTCTGAGGACTTGCATGACAGAAGACTCACAATATGTTACAACATAGAATGATCGATAAAACTATGTTATACGATTGAATGATGTGATAGTGAAATTAAAATTCCTACTTTATTACGAGGTTGTTACGCATTGTTGGTACTCACTGTCCCCAAGGGTGTCAATCCTGGGGGCTAGGAGTATATATCATCAAACACCACTTTTTCGTGATGAAAAATTAAGCGGGTTGTCGGACTTGCTAACAACCGAAATGTGTTGAGTAACACTCAAAAAGATGTACATCGTTCCCTGGTGTAGGCACCTCATCCCTTTTCAAATTCCCATAGCTGGGCAAGTCTCACCACTTTCGTAATGCCCATCCCCAGTGTGGCCGTCTCAGTTGTCTCCTGGTCTCAGCGTTTCCCTTAAACAGGGACGGGAACAGTCAGCTAACAAACAAACAACAAACAAACAAACGCACACGCTGGCGTGATGGGCGAACAAGGATGTCTCTCGCGTTTAGTTCTACTCAATTTACCCATTTTCTTTATAATTGTAACGAACATAATGACGCCCAAATTGTCAACATAATAGCTGACATATAAACAATATACATCAAACTGGAGTATATCCGTTTGGCTTCAAGAGGGGCTTCCATCACCTAAAAAGACATTATACGCAAAACTTTGAGTTTTGGACGCCATTTGTTTAGCCTTTTGTGGAATGGTGTTACGCTGCGTCTCATAATCTTCCGCGCATGTCTACGTCTTGGCATCTTGCGTGCTGTGAACGTTCGTTACGACCATTATAAAAAGAAGGCTTAGGTAGTAAGTGCGCTCTCGAACCACACGTCGTTGCGGTCCAGACATTTACGAGGAAACGTACAGATGCAAGAGTGGGCGAGGGAAGCAGCATAGGTTCATTAAATTTAAGGTTATTTTCTTGAACTGTACAACATCCGCCCGGCACGAGAGGTTGTGAGCTGACTTCAGCTGTTGGCCTTGGCTGGCAGAGCCGAAGTTCATCCGTTCATGGAGGAAGGACACAAATGGTTCAACTGAGCAGGACGTGCTCTGCTACTTTGTGTATAAAAAAGAGAGTTTTTAACGGATGGTAAGGGGTTTGCTGAGTTGAATTTCAAAGTGCAGGGGATGGTGTAAGGTCGGGACGAGTGTTTGGGGTTGGATCATCCCAACCGATCAGTAGTCAGACGTGCGATATTGTTGGCCACACAATGTAAATGGGCAACCTTGTATCGAGGTTTAGTCTGTATGATCTATTACCTTTGACACAAGCGGTTCACCGAGAGCTCATTGAACTTGTCAATCCATAAGCTAAGTTAGTGGATATTGATAACCTGTGATCCTGCATTGTATAGTATGCTGTAATTATTGAGCTTTATGTTGCACAGGCTTGATACTGGTAACAATTTTCCTCTTTCACGTGTGCTTAGATGGGTAATTGTAGTTTTCTTAATTTTAGTATCTTGGGTAATTTTCAGGAAGTTGCCAATTTAACCCTTCGGCCCGAGAGTAATAAGCCTCGCGTAGGCACGGAGGTATATAAAAAAAAAACCAGGACTTGCAACGCCTTGGTATAAAATAGAAGCCAACCAGCGACCATGTTACCGAGCCGAATACAAATGCGCAGGCTGGGCACGCTTTGTATTCGGCTCGGTAAAATGGCCGCTAGTGAATATAAGGTTGCTGGTTATTGGTGTATTTTAGTTGTTTATGTTGTACCCTAACTAATAATAATGGAGATGCAGAGAGGAATGAACCAACTGAAGGTTGTGCATATGTGTCCCTGATTATATAAATTAAATGTGGTGCGCACAGAGCTCTTCCAATCTCAACCGTTGGCTTATATACTACTGACAAGCGGGCAGGTCCAGAACACAAAATCTTCACTCTTCACAATTCCCCTCCTGTGTGTATGACCGCTTACGCACGTGGAAGGATAAAAGACACTTGTGTGGGGTGAATCAATCAAAAACCCCACAGGTGTATCGGTCCATGAATACCTTGTAACGACTAGTGGCAGCAGACACAATATTTATTTGTACAGCTACTTCATCAGTCCTGTACATGCGCAACTCCTTCTTGGTCCAGTATAAAAACGTAGTTGGACTTCCTGATAAATGGTAACCCTGGCCATGCTGTGCGTGCCTTGATGCACAGAATGCTGAGAAAACGAGATGATGCAAATGAAAAGTTCAGTGACATGTGTCTTTTGCCACAAACGTCTCACAACTGAATTGAAAATGGATGTGTATGATTACATACAGAACTTGTTGAATAATCAACTTCTGTGTCCAACTTTCTTGCTGTGTCTCTTTTGATTGACTGTAGGGAAAGATCGTCTTACTATATCATAGCATCATCAACACCACGAAGTAGTACTCATCCAAAGATGTGTGCGCCGCTTCAGCGCGTATTTTACAGAAATGTCTTGTTTTCATTTTCACGAAGTAGCACTCAGTGCCGTGCGGCACATGCTTCGTGAATTGTCGTTTCAGGAATTGACCTTTTCCTTAATTTAAACAGTTACAACGATTTTTCAGAGCATCTTCTAGTAAAGTCACATATTTACGGGCAAATCAAACCATTTTAGACCTTTAAAAGCGTTTTTGTCCACGCTATATTGACAAACCACACTTGAGTGCTACTTCGTAAAACCGAAATTGCTGTAAACACGGTTTTCACGAAGTACCACCCAAGTGCAGTTGAGTGCTGTACTTCGTGGTGTTGGCGACGATATCACAACAGATTTTGATAGACGAATGTACAATACAAACATAACTTCGGCAAGATATTTTTGCTTCCTTGATCCAAGTTCTTGGTACAAGGCTCATTTTAACAGAGCTTTATTTTCAGCAGTTCTTATGACGGCTTTTCTTCAGGGGATAAATGACAACAGTAACGTTGATCAAAACGAAACTCATAAGGATGGAAGGAGTGCCGATTGCAACAAGACTGCAGAATTGCATTATAAGGTATACTTAGTGTTTGAAAAATGCACGCACGCACAGGAACAGTGCACAGTGATTTGGTGAGATGCAGTTAACTCCATTAGAGTATTGTGGTATTACAACGTGATGGTGTCTCAGTCACTTCTACGATAATTGTGAACCTCTTCAACCAACTAGAGCAGTAGTGTATAAAATATTTACAGTAATACTCGTTACTATAAATTATCCAGGCTACTCCCTCTGTTTACAGTCATTGCAAAATTGCAGCATCTTTACTGTTTGTTTGCATTTTAAGTATCTGAGATTTACGTATGTACAAGGCATGTCATCGAAAATTGTTGAACACCATCACACGTAGTAAAATATTTCATATCATTTTTTACATCAGAAAGTTTCGGCACGAAAGGTACACGTAGTGTACTTACTTAAAATAAGTCTCATATTTGCTGTATTTACAAGACGGTAATTAAAAACGTTGAACTTGAATGAATTTTGAAGTAGGTGTAAACATTGCACCTTTCTCCGATTGCACCTTAATGGTCGAAGAGGGAAAAGACCTTTAACTTGTGGTTATTGTCCTCTAAACAATCCGTATACGGATTGAAATACCTAACTTTAAAAACTAATCCTGGCAATATTTTAAGTGTTGTGCTGATTAAAGACTTTTGCGAATACTCTAAAGCAACGTGTGTGGTAGAAAAGCTGCTGAAAGTTAACTTTAGGTTCTTAAATTACATCTGCTACTATACCTCTACTAAATCTTAATATCATGTCTGTTTTTCAGAGTCTATTTCATAATAAACTATATCTATAGTCTTTTTTCTTATACACATTTACGCACGAGAATCAAATAGAAAATGCTGCACACAATTCTCATATGATTAAGGCATATATAAAATGATAAATTTGGAAAATTAAAAACATATGGTACTTTAAATTATTATTTACAGGTTCGAACTATATAGATGTTAAGCACCACAAGTTTCCAGTGCCAGTTACTACTTTAACCGAATTATTTACAGTAATTAGGGTAACTTAATTGTTGATGTTCCGATTCTGTTCTAGTTTTGTGCAATTTCTACCACTTTAGAGGCGCTGTACTGTCTTTATGCTTTTCCTTGTAACCATCTAAAGGATGTCTGCGCTCTTCCTTAGCTGGTTTGCGTTCATCTTTGAGACCTTCAAGGGGGTGTTTGCGTTCATCTTTCAGGCCTTCGAGGGGGTGTTTGCGCTCTTCTTTAAAGAGGTCCAACGGGTGTTTTCTTTCATCTTTTAGACCTTCCAGTGGATGTCTCCTTTCGTCTTTTGGCACATCTAGTGGATGTCTACGTTCCTTGGGCACTGCCCCGGGACTGTTAGGGGAGTCTAAGGTCATTGACCTTGCGGAGAGCCTCTCAGGAGGTGGTCGTGACCTCGGTGGGTCCTTCGGAGGAGGCCTGTTTGCGGCAAATACGTCTAGTGCACTGTGGGCCCTACCGTAGTGCTGTCTTCTCAGATCGTGGGCGCGATTACGCTTGTGACCGTCCTTTGGTTCTAAGATATTTGTCTCCGAGCTGGTTCTGACTGTGGCGGGTCGTATATGCCTCCCTGGTGGGTATCTTAAGGGGTGAAGTCGTCCTGAGGAGCCCCTGTGTTCCCGGTCAGCCTCCAGTCTGCCGTCGTGGTCTATGCTGCGATCGCGTCGCGGAGCATCATAAGTTTCATCACTGTAATGTCTTTCAAACTGAGGTGAAGCGGCTTCCCGTTGGAGTCTGAGGAGGGAGGAGGCGCTGTGCGGCCTGTCTAGATGCTCCTTGGGTGGGACGCCTAGGAAGCCTCTGTCGTCACTCCATTCGGCACTACCCTGACTACTGCCAGCGCTGTGCATCCTCAACGGGGATTTGGATCTTCTGTCTGCGTACTCCCTCTCACCCTCCTGTGAGTGAGTGGCAGTTGGGGTCTGAGGGGATCTCCAGGGGCTTCTGTCCCTGCCAGGACTTCGGCCGCGCCGGTGTAGCGGAGGGTCGCTGCCACCAGATGGGTGGGGCTCTCGGTGGCGATACGCCTCCTCTCTGAGCTCCCCTTTAGAGGAGTAGTGGCCACTGTTCCTGGGTGATTCGCGACTGCCTCCACTGCTGTGGCTGTTTGATATACTCTCCTTAGGGTGGATGGCTGTTGGTCTTACCAGTGTAGTCTGTGATACAATTTTCCCCTTGGACATAGGGGGTTGCTCTTCGTGTGGGTGTGGTTTGTCTGGCAATACATCATCTTCTGGAGCGATGGAGGCGTGCGATCGTTTGAGTTTTGGAGACTTCTTAACACAACGGAAGGCGCTTGGTCGACAAGAAACATCCTCGAGGTCCAGTCTTTGCGCTTGTCCTCTGTGTTCTTCGCTTTGCTCATGTCGACTTGATACTTCTCGATCTTTGGATGGAATTTCTTCGAGATCGCGTTTCCTGGTAGGTGGTTGGCTGCCACCCCATATTTTTGCGCTCTCTTTGCGGAGGTAGTCTTCTTCTACACTATCCTGCGAACTAAGCTTCTTAGACGAGCCGGATCCAGGTAGCAGATGCGTCAGTCTCTCTTTTGCCGATTCACCTTTGTGGTCGAAGCTAGCACTTCTCACATCAGCAGAAGACATGTCAGCCATTTTGCGAGCTGGATCTATCTGAGAGTCACTGTGCTGCTTATGCTGTAGCTGTAGTCGACGATTGCGAGGTGGGCGACTGCGCCTCGACGTCGGTGCATCAAACATGGCGTCTGATCGCATGAACTCTTTGAACAAAGCGTCAGTCTTTTCGTCGATACTGTAATCCCTCCCTTTTGGATAAAACCTCAGTCGGTTCTCTCCCTGGACACGAAAGATCCTACCAACTCGGTTGCTGTTGCGAATACGCTCTGACGAATCGTTGGGCGAGTCGGCAGCAGCACTGGCAGATTTTTCACTGACCGATCCTGTTATTGTCTGAGAGTCTGCTTCACTCTCTTCTTCTGGGAAGCTGAAGCTGCCAAAGATGGCCTCTCCTTTCTCTGCAATGAATTCGCGTCGCTTAGTCGAGGCAGTCCGTCGATCACTCCTCCGTCTTACACCGTGAATATTTGACGGCAAGGTGTCCTCCTTGCTGCTTTCTGTGAGCACTGCACTGTCGGTGCCAGATGACAGAGGTCTTTCCCCGATCGGGCTACTCTCACTCGACAATGCAGGAGCGCAGCTTTCCAAGCTCGTGCTGTCCCGGTCGGCTGATGCAAACAGATACCGCTTTTGCTGCTCCGAGACCTCGTTCTTGTGTTCTATGGATGTGTATCCACTGTCAGCCTGCATTTGCTTCAGTTTGCTCGCACTGTCCTTCCCAGAGCTGTCCCCTCCTTTGCTGCGCTCGGAGGTATCCGACTCTTCGGTGCTGATGCTACTAAACATCTGCTCAAAGCTATCATTTTTGCCATGCGTATTAAACCTGTACCTCTGCACAACTGTAAGTCTATTTTTCCCGTCATCGGCTTCTGCTGCAGATGTGTCAGTTGGAGAGAGGGCAGAGTCGCTGGGCTCCAAATACTGAGTATTGCCGCCCCCTTCCTGGGCGGCACTCTCCTGTTTCCCCCCTTCTGCAGGAATTACAGTATCTGGCTCAGAGCTTGAGCTTCCCGAGTCTTCCATCTCAAGAGTAGTGCGAAGCTGCCACAGTTCCCGATAGTCCCCAAATCGTGCTTCTCGGTCTGGTGTTGGTTTCTCGCATATTTCGATCTGTGGCGGAGGGTGGAACTTCGGGGGCGGGTTGGGCGCCCTCCGGGTTCCCTTGGTTGCTGATTTCCCGTTACCCTCCGACCCTTCGCTACTGATAGGCTCTGCGAATCCGGCGGGGTTTTCGGCAGGTATGGGGACAAACCCTTTGGGCTCGGTTTCCCTGTTGGCTTCGGAAGCGGGCTTATCGCGGCTGTTCTTCCGCGGAGAGCGGAGTTGCAAGTGGGACGGTGCGTGCAGGCGAGCCTGCCCGCCTGGCGACAGATCCCGGGACTTGATGCCATCTGCTTCCGGTGCTTTTGCCTGCTCCGTCGGCTGGGTGTGAACCTGGGCCTTGACCGTCATGCCGCGTGGTTGTTGTGGGTCATCACTGAGAGGCTTATGCCACTCAAGGTCGTCAGGGGTGGGCAAGCTGGTCCTTACGGTGCGCCCAGGCGAATGGTTTCGGCGGTCACCGCTCCGTTGACAGTCGTAGTCAAGCGAAAACGCCTTCATGGAATCACCGGACGGCTTAATGCGGGATAGTTTCAAGTGGTGAAAATCTCCTTCCGTGTACCTGTTAATGAGAAGTTAAACAGGAAGTGACAGTCACGCTGGAAGTTTGGTTACATATACATTTATGTAAATGCGGTTAACAGCAACTATAAAGCAGCGTTTGGAATTTAATAAAATGTTTAAAGTTTAGCTATATTTCAGCCCGGCACACGAATCTGAATTCATTCTCTAGCTGTGTGTGAAGTGTGAAAGATCGGGATAAGTATCACGAGACATACCTCCTGACGTACTTTGCTTGCTTCTGTTTGATAGGAACAACTTGGAAGGACACTCGCCGAGGCGAGACGGGGGAGCGTTCTTCCTCTACCCGTTCTGGCGAGAAGTCAATTGTGGCCGTCTCTGCTTCACCAGCTGTAAGCGGTTCTTCCTCAGGAATGTCTATCGAGAAGAGATAGTGACAGTTAAACGAAAACCCCAAATACGAAGTGCCATGGAGAGTGATTACCTTTCAGGACATCATGGCTGTTTCACCTTTGCATTTGATTCAAATGATTAACTCATTCCAAGGCAGTAAACAAGGCCAGCTCAAGTATACTTCACGGCTGGGCAAGTAATAATGTCAGTTACCTGACGTTGATGTTTTCTTGTATCAAATGTTTTCGGATACCTGGTAACGAAAGGGTTTTATACCTTTCGTCCTGATGAAAACTAAGAAAAACGAAGAATGCTCCATTGGTCAGGTTTTTTTTTTGGTATTCATGGAGCATAAGACAGACAGGTTACAAGATTGAGAAAAACTATGGGCACGCATGATGACCGAGTGCCAGTGTGTCTCACGTCGCTGTTGATAGGCTGAATAGCGCCCTCTTTCGTTCACAGAAGCTGTTCACTTTTCTGAGCTTGCAGTTGTTGACGGCTGCTATACTTACCGGGTAAGTGATCAGCAGACGCGGCCTCCCCCGTGGCAAGATATTCGGCGATGCAAGAATCCAGGTTCTCATCATCGTCTTCCAGGAGTCTGAAAGAAATCATAAAAAAGTCATACTTTGTGAAAAGAAAAATAACTGTAGATGAAAAGAAAAAAATTGTAATGGACATAAGGCTTTTTTCCTTGAAATCATGCGACCCGTACGTGTCCTTTGTCCTTCTTGTTTGATCGCCTGAGAACAAAATAGTGATCTATATTGAGGCCTCTGTAAACATTGGTGAGTATTTTGACCAGATAGTCGGGGTTTCTGTCGGTATCTTATGAAAATGATACTTTCGCAGTCACCAAATATTCGTATTTTTTAACTATAGAGTTATTACTGGGTTCATATGAATTGGTAATATAAGGAACACAGTCGAGAACAAGGCACCTCGAGACAGATCCAGCACTTTTCAAAGGGTTGGGAATTGTTTGGGATGGTTTTAATTCCAGACTATTTCGGGGGAGGGGGTCGTTCAGATGTTGGGATAAAAGGTCTCATGCCATGGACAGATGTTTGCAATATGGTGCCATGTTATTTAAGGAGAAGATGTATTCATCCCGCAGCAATATTTTTTGTTGGGTGGACGGAATGGTTGGATCTATTATGCACCCGACAACTAAATTCGCTGACAACTCTGCTTTTGTTACACATTGTCTCCTTTGGCATTTGAGGTCTGTTGCTGGTGCTGAGGATCAACATATTGTCAAATTTCACTCTCATAAGCCCAATTACATAACTCAAACTTAAGCATCCCCAACAGGAAATGGCCTGGTTTCAGAATGATCCTGGTAGGCCTACATTTCATTTGTGCAGGGCAGCAAATTGAACCAATGCAGGATTTGCAAATGGGATTTGCTTGCATTTCCGAAACAGTTATATGATAAGATCACATCATAATAGTATCTATAGACTATTATGTATACGATGTAGCAGCACGATAGAATTCAGTACAAAGTAAGACAATCCGTATTTTATGTTCGGTGTGTTTCTACAGAAGGAAGTATTAGAAAATTTTGTTTCCAGAAATCTGCACATGCACAAATCAATACTCTTTCGCACATGTCCCGTGTGTCTCGCCTCAGACAAAAACTGAACATCTGGACGGCGGGGAAAACATACCCCAGAGGCTTACCATCTAGTGAAGACCCTAATGTGAACTAGTCCAAGAGACTTTCTCTTCTTTGAAACAAGATCAGATCCACACATCAAATAAACATCCACCAATTTGCCACTCTCAGACGAATGCGCAATGCGTGATAAGAAGGGCAGACTTGCAACCTGTACACGTTTGGTGACCAGATGCTGCTTAATAATCAGCACAGAGCTGTCTACAGACAAGCAGTCATTTCCAGGGAAAACTTGCTGCCCTGGATAAGACGCTGCATGCATTTAGGGCGTGCAATGCAATTTAAATAATTCATAACCTGAAACGCCTAGAAAATGGTGCGTTTCCATAATTCCAACGATTGACAGAAATAACTCGATGTTGGTCTCTTTGATGTATTTTTTTTGCGAGAATGTACCCCCCGTCAATAAAGTGCACGTTAACTGCACTTTTCTTCTTACCAGGGACCGGTTGCCTAGAGGGATTACCGCCAAAATGTCCATGCATTGCCAAGTGCCCATTACAGTTCGTCAGTCTGGTTTCGATGCAACTGCACATGCACAGCACGCCCCAGTTGCCAATTTCATTTACCGCACAGGTATGCGTCACATTTGGCAGGCGACAGGCGTGTAAATACTCGCAGCGTACATAATTTCATGTTCAGGGTAGATAGATTTTATACCCGTATAGGCTTTGGGTCTTGTGACCCCCCTCCCCGTTTTCCTGAAATCACAGCTTCGTGTGGTTATTGAACCGTTTAAATTTAGACAGGAACTCTTTGGATGACAGAAATATTTATTTCGAACAAAACAATGATCATGACTAAAAATACAAAACAGAATCGCCAGCGTGAGTTTTTTGCATCAACATATTACCTACAATGTGGCCACCCGGCAGGAGATATATATCAGTACTTTTTCCTTTACACGCGCTAACCGCCATTTTGTATGGAGGGCCACAATTTACATTGTATATATTTCACTCGTGAAATAACAGGTTTCCCTATCGAAGCAAATTCATGTCGTAAGTACTGAAGAATGAGGTAGTCTGTGTGCAGTAGTTTCATTGATTGTTCAGCTCTGAAACAGCTGGTTGGCAAAACGATTGTGGTGTAGCAACAGAAAAATATTTGAGCAAACCGCTGCGCATAAGCCCTGTTGGTTTTTCAACTAGGGACCGCCTATTGTTCCTCTTTTAGAAGACCACCCATATATTTTGTACACAGTCGTCAATCGGGGACCTTATTGTCCTCTATTTTTCAGGGTCCCCAGTTGAATGCAGAACAAAAACTCACCCACCCACAACGCCATCGTCCCCTACATTTTAAGGACTTCTTTTGTGCAGAGGTCCACACTTTGTACGCCACGCCTTGGCCACGGTGATAGCATAATCCTACGGGCAGCTTCAGCCAGGTACAAGCGCACGTGTGAACGCTGCATATTTGACTGGTTCATCTTGAATAGGTAGATTACCATCACAACACTATGCACTCATTACCATCACAACACATCGCGGTCCAGCACAATTGTGACATCGCAGAAAAAAGGTCTATAGGGTGTGGACATGTAGGAGGGCCGGGTACCCCTCCGTCCCATCTTGCCGGGTGTAAGAACAAAAATTGAAGATGTGTTTTTGTATTGGAAGTAAACCACGTTTCCTGTGCAATATGCATGGACAATGAACGCTGCACAGAAAACAACATAAACTGTTTTGCACAGATGTGCCCCCTCCCATTTAGTTCAAGAATTCAGATCGTGACTATAACTCATTAATATTAGTAAGTGTAGTATTGACAGACAAATGAAACAATTTGCACCCCAGGTAAACTGAGCCCGCTCAAGCACCTGGCATTTTGCACGGAACTCTTTATCAAGACGTCCAGCCATCTTGAAATCGATCCTCTGTGCAGCCTATGTGCCCCCNTCTGCATTTGGAGAGCAAAAACCATACAGCGCTGTTGATTGCTCCCTAGGTTCGGGTACTTTCGAGCAAGCTTGGCAGTGCGCGGAACGATATCAGAAACAACCATGAGCACGATGCAAAATGAGACTCCCTGATTATTCTGTGTACTGATGACGCCACATTTTGCCTATATGTGTTATTTCCAATGGTGCTCAGTGGACCGTGGGGACCTACGGGCTCCATAGGAGAGCGCACCTGTACGCAAAGTGTGACGTCACAGTAGAGAATAAAATAAAAACAGGTGTTCGCTTTTTGCACGCTGCCGCCATAGGCATGCAAAGAATCGAACTGACAGCTTGTACAATCGCGTCAGAATGGGTAATGCGCGAACAAAATTACAAAAGCAAATATACACAGAAATCACTGAACCGGCTATATTTATTGTGTAAAGCTTCCAGATCGAGGCTCTGCATGCCTATGGCAGCAGCGTGCAAAGAACGAATAGGGTGTGCATAACTGTGCTTTGTACTTTGTGGATACATATATTTAAAAATTACAGCATTGCATATTTCTGCGGTGGAGTGTGCAAACATTGGTTTTTGTTCTGTTAATGATATGTATCTGTGCAGATAGCATGTATTGTCAGTAAATGTGAACGCATACGCGTACTAACGTCGGCGTTACTGGATTAAACGCACAGTGTAGGCCTCTTGAACTGAGGAATCTCACGCAATAAAAATATCACTGAGGTTGCACAATTAAGTGGACATCGCATGTTGAGAAAAAAACGACTTGTTTTCGTTGCGTTCATAGGAGGCAGGGACATGTATGCTGCCTGCGGTAAGAAAAAAAGCTTTTCAAACACTCAACATGCTGGTCAATGCACTACACTCTCATCACACTCAGTTACAGTATCTGGAATTTCTCCTCACAGCCAACACGGGAACGTGGTAATGGCGGGAGATTTCACTTTCATCTAGACTCTAGCATAAACACTCGCGGGCATACACATCGTAACCCAAGAAGAAAATTGGCGGGAACTATAGATCGACGACCACCTTAATGACGTCACCAGCAGCAACAGCGGTGATGGATGGATCCAACCGCGGTCAAACGTTTATTACCGACTGTAACATTGGTGCGTCGGATGGATTTCCTCAAATCGTAATTCCAAAAGTACAGACCATTTCCAGCATCTGACAGTCAATAAAGTTGTCAGTAGCGCCGTCTGTAGGAAACACACGCCTGTTGTTTGAGCTGACAGTGAACGCTGATCTCGTGCTTCGCGCGCTAACTGCGATAGCAGAATCACAAAAGAAGGTAGAAATAGATTGAACACACATTCCGGACTTCCTAAGTGTGCTGTGCTGGACAGTATGAGTGTTCAGGATCACTTCCCTTCGTTTAAGATGCAAGGTGTAAAATAAAGATAATTATCCGAACTGTCATAATGATGCAAGCTATCAGGTTTCAAGCAGCTACTGCTCAGTCGCTATTGAGATGTTAAATCGATAATTTGATTACGATGTAGGAAATGACTAAATAGTCACATGACCTTCTTGGCCGGTATTCGACTGTTTTGTTGTGAATCAGGTGATCACCCGCATTTGGAGTACGCATAATTGAAATGATGAACTGTCCTTTGAAGTGAGATGATGAAAAATTATTCTGGTTCATGATTGCAGTGACGCTATGAGAATCTATAAAAACGCTTTGCTAATTTCAGTTGGTCGTTTGTCAACGAAGGGGAATGTTGATCTTCTCACATTGGCATGTAACGTCCGTTCCGTACAGTCGCCAGGTCCCTTATTTCGCCTCTTACTGTGTAAACCAATCTGACTTGACAAAAGGTGGGGAAATTAGGAACGTGGCGACTATACGTTAGGGTTGTTACTCATTTTAGCAAGGTAGCAAGGTAAGCCTTGCTGTGTATTCCAGTTTAATGCGGTGGAAGTTTACCCAGATAAATGTTTGTCCCAAAATACCTTAATCAAAAGCCTTTGGGGAACACTGCTTGTCATTTAATAACATTCAGTTTCG